GTTAATGAGTCCCATGGCTTGGTTATTACAATTTAAAATGGCCCATGTTTGTGTGCCTCGTCATGGGCTGGCTAGGGCTCGAACCTACTTCCAAAAACGAGGCTCGATTCTCGGAACCACGAGCAGGGTCCAACTACGGACCACTCGAACCGACGAGTCGAATTAACATCTCTATCAATAAGTACGCTTTTGCAATGCCTAGAGATTTGTGCGCTCATGACCAATCTATTTTTGAAAACACACCAGCATATTGCCCTTCAAGAGAAAGATGGGCAAGTTAGGAAGTTTGTACTGAAGAACCAGAAAAATCAGAATGAAGCGCCATATCCAGATCAAATAACAATTTCGCTAGCAACCTAATAACCAAGGGACCTGGGCATACCATGACTGGCAAATATGCTCTCACAAGCAAATAAAGTTGTGAAGATAAACCTCTTGCTTTGCACCAAGAATCCAGGCTCAGAATTTCGGATTGACACCACAATGAGAAAACCCAAAACCAAAAACTTGCCCAAACGGTTGCTCTTCGTTTCTGCCCACAAAGGAACTTTGGATGGAGAATAATATAGCCACTGGTTTGCCACAAAGGCGAAAGAGAGAAGAAGATGAAGTAGCACACAGCCACTTAGAGAAGCAGGAAGCACAAAGCCAAGAACCGCCGGTTTTCTCTCAATAGGGGCTATCAAAATAATTCTCACACACAAGCAACAGTAACGGGCATAAGGAATATATAGGAATTAGGTATGACCTTAGGTTAAGTCCAATAAGGAATGATAAGGCCCAAATAGGAACAATAAGTGGACTGTCAACATATAAGAGCCCTCCAAGTTTGGGTTGGGCCATGAGCAGTACTAATTAAGAGTAAGCTGCTTCCAATGGCCCAACTAGGTTATATGGTTGGTCTACCAAATTGTGGTGTCGATATACCTTCAGTCATTTGCTCTATGCCGACTGAACTAAAACAATTCTATTCATCATCGTCCAGGGAGGTCGTTTGACAACAATTTGCCTAACACATACTATTTTTCATCATTCACATTACAAGACATATAGAGAGGAAAATAAGCAAACCTGGAGAGAAAGGGGCTTGGGCCAAACCCATTATACAAGCCCAATAAAAACATAAAGCATAAATAAATGGCCTAAACAAATGGCCCAACAGAGGATGTCCTCATCCCATCATCTTCATCAAAGGTTTCAAGATTGAAATTCAGTACTAAGTACAAGTATCTTTAAAAAGTAACAAAGATACTGGAAGAATTTCACCCAAACAAACTTCGAGGTGGTGCTGTCTAAATAGAAAGTAAAAGTTTCTTTCTTAAAAGTTTGTTGAAAATGACGAGCACAAGGCCATATTAGCGCTAAAAGAAATTGAGAAACTTGAGAACACGTGATACTTGTGTGTGTGTTCTTACCGGTATCGTCATATGGAATCATTGGTTCAAAGCTTCCATGCTACCTTTAATTCCGACTTCACTTTGTTAGAATTACACTATGGTTAGATTCAAATCGAAAGATATCTAATCCTTATGCATAAGTATTGTACATTTGAAGATGAGATTTTATTCAATTTTGAACAAGTGGGGATTTGTTGAAATTAGTTGTTCAAAATAATAATGTATCGTCATATGGAATCATTGGTTCAAATCTTCCATGTTACCTTTAATTTCGACTTTACTTTGTAAGAATTACACTATGGTTAGATTCAAATCGAAAGATATCTAATCCTTATGCGTAAGTATTGTACATTTGAATATGAGATTTTATTCAATTTTGAACAAGTGGGGATTTGTTGAAATTAGTTGTTCAAAATAATAAAATCAAACTAGGAATGAAAATTGGGGATGGAGGCCAAAGTTTTGAACTATGCGACTGTATAGTTCGAAGGACTATGCGGTCGCATAGTTCTATACAGGGACTTAATGTCCTGATTTTGAGAAACATATGCGGTCGCACATAGGTCATAATTTTGGCAGTTTTTTGTCCGTTTATAGTCGTTGTCATTTTAAACTTGGTGACTTTTCATTCTATTTTGGCACCATTCCGTGGACAACTCTTGAGGGTTATAAATAGGAGATCCCTACTCATTTGAGAAGAATGAAAAAATTATTATTGCAACCTCATTTATTCCATAGCAATAGAAATCATATTTTCTTCTTCATATTCAAAATCCCTTTGTGTTCTTCAAGATTGGGTAGAAAATTTTTGTGCTTTGATATTTTCTGCAACAAGGCTTGATCAATCTTTCAAATCATTTGCCAAAAATCTTTAAGCATCTTAATTCATTGGAGTGGGGGCAAATATAGTTTGAGAATAGCGATTACGCGTTTGGGCCTTTTATTTTGATTCCTGTTTGTTTATATTGTTGTTGCACACTTTGGTGAGTTTCTTCTCCAACCCCGGTGGTATTTCCAACAGTTACTGCTGCCTATTTTAAAGGCAGCTTTTTAAAACTTTTTTTGGATCTCTTTCGACCATTAATGTTGACTAGCACTATTTAATAGTTTTTGGTAAAACATTTATAATTGTGTCTTTTGACTGCATCACATTTATATTCGCATGTGCACTTTGATTTGTATTTAGTTAATGAGTCCCATGGCTTGGTTATTACAATTTAAAATGGCCCATGTTTGTGTGGCTCTTCATGGGCTAGTTGGGGCTCGAACCTACTTCCAAAAACGAGGCTCGATTACTCGGAACCACGAGCAGGGTCCAACTACGGACCACTCGAACCGACGAGTCGAATTAACATCTCTATCAATAAGTAAGCTTTTGCAATGCCTAGAGATTTATGTGCTCGTGACCAATCTATTTTTGAAAACACACCAGCATACTGCCCTTGGAAGAGAAAGATGGGCCAGTTAGGAAGTTTATACTAAAGAACCAGAAAAATCAGAATGAAGTGCCATATCCAGATCAAATAACAATTTCGCTAGCAACCTGATAACCAAGGGACCAGGGCATACCATGACTGGCAAATATGCTCTCACAAGCAAATAAAGTCAATATTAATTTATCAAAAAAGGAAAAAAGTTATGATTTTGTTTGA